AATTTAACAACAAGACAGATGTAAATTTATTAATTTTTATTAAAATTTTTACATTTTTATTACGTGGTAAAGATTTCTAGACTATATAGTGTAAATACAGTGATGCCTCGTATAACGTACTTAATCCGTTCCAGATGCACGTCCGTTAAGTGAAAAGTCTGTTATACGAAACGCATTTTGCCATAGAAATACATGTTAAAACATATAATTTGTTCCGCAGCATAAAATAACTGTACTGAACCATAAAAAATAAAAATGGAGCAGTCACCAACTATGCCGGATTGTCAGATGTTGTGAGGAGGAGGTGGAGGAACACTTTCTTCACACATTCATACAGATACAGACTTTTTACACATTGTAGCAGGTCTCTTTTTATTGTTTTTTTAATCGGAGTCAGATTCAGGAGAGGCTACCGGAGCTTGCAGGGTCAACTCCTCTTGTTCCATCCTTTGTTATTTGGCAGCTGGCTTGTTGAAAAACATGTCCAAGGTGGTCTGTTTCTCTCTCTTTTTCATCACCTTCGGAAATGACGGGCAATTGTGTCATTGATCCTGTTGTCTTCAGCTCTATTTGAATAATAAGTGTAGGTAAACTCCTGAACCTCTCCCCATTCGACAAGGAAGTTTTTGTCAACTTTCACTCCTTCTGATGATTTATTGTATTGTTTCAATTGAAATCACCATTCTGTTTTTTAGAAGCCGTTATTTGCACAACACTTGAATAAATGTAAATACCCTGCAGTGAGGTGATGTACGTAATAAACAAGGGAGCAAGCCGAATCTCAATTATGAAAGTAGCAGATTGTCATTGGCAACGGCAAAAGAGTGGAAACATCATTCGCACTTATTAGAAGAAAGTTTGTTGTTGGCCTCACGTAACTGCCGAACGGGAAGTCCGTTGTTCGCTGCCAGTCCGTTGCTCGAGTCGTGTAACGGCCAAACAGAAAGTCCGTTGTTCTCAGCGTCCGTTATTCGAGAAATATGTTATACGAGGCACTACTGTATATATATGTTACTGTAAAAGCCCTTATATTGGTAAATCCTAGGTTTTACTTGTAAATCTTTGCATTTACCAACATGAGTTGGTAAATGTAAGGATTTTTATAAAGTGAGACGATTTTCCGGGCTTTTACCATTAGAATTTGGTACAGTACATGCTAGGTTTCACTAAAGACAATTAGTAAATGTTGGTTTTGGAAATAAAACTATGAGTATTTTAATAATCATTTATTGCAATTATTATAAACTTACTAAGTCCTATTTATTAATAACTAGTGAAACATTATTGTTAATTGTCTACTTGGACATTATTTATTAATAGGACTTAATACTGGTGATTAAAGATTGACACAGCAATGAGAGTTAGTTCAGAAAAAAACAAAATTTCTTTATTATTTCACTTGTAGTAATAGTTTCTGTACACATCTTACACGTGTTTCGGGCTAGCATGCCCCTCATCAGCAGTTCTACTACCACACACTAAAAAGTTACAATAATAAAACAAGATAAGGTATTGTATAAATTAAAATTTTTACATAGCCATAAAAATAATTTTAACAACTTACTTTAAATACATATTCCAAAAATGAGTATAAAATATATTTCTTTTTCTTTGTATAATTAATTAATGAGTTAAACATTTCACTGTATAAATAAATTAAAATACAATAAAAATGTTGTAAAATATTAACAAAAATAAAAAAACATCGTATAGTAAAACCAAAAGGACTCACATCAAGGTTCAAATTTTCACAATTCAAGAGTGTTATTGCAAAGAGACCCAACTATGCTTTATTATAGACTTCATCTCGTATGGTGCTCCAGGATTGGTGGATTATACGACCCAAATTATTGTTTATTTTATTTCTTTCTTTTTTTATGTTTAAATGCTCGTATAATTGACGTTTGAAATTGTTTGATTCTTTTTTTTTATTTCTATAGTATCTTTGTTGATTTGGCACCCATAACTATTGCAGTGTTCTGCTACTGCAGAATTTGCATAATTACCCCTTATTGCACGTATGTGCTCTTTTATTCTTGTGCCTAATTTTCTTTTTGTTTCTCCTATATAAGTTTTAACCGGATCCGGTTTTAACGTGCAATAAGGGGTAATTATGCAAATTCTGCAGTAGCAGAACACTGCAATAGTTATGGGTGCCAAATCAACAAAGATACTATAAAAATAAAGAAAAACGAATCAAATAATTACAAACGTCAATTATACGAACATTTAAACATAAAGAAAGAAAGAAATAAAATAAACAATAATTTGGGTCGTATAATCCACCAATCCTGGAGCACCATTCTAGATGA